AACTGCAAATCCCTCTTTGGCCATTAAAGCAGCAATCTTTCCCCAAAAAGCATTTTGCTTCATTTTACCTTTTAGAAGATATTGCTGGTTTTCGCTATAATTGTGTAGTAGTAGTACAATACCTTCATGCGTCCAACGATGTGTGTTATCTAAAATTAATTATGTTCCTTATAAATACTTCACAAATGTTTGTAATTACCATCCTGAGACTCTGCACCCTCTGCACTTTGTGGCGAGCATACCTCAACCTCAAAAGTGCTTTCCGACACTTCCTCCGAGTTTTCTTCTATTTCTTGAGTGGCTTGTGTGGTCCTGCCATTTTGTAGCAATGTTGTTGCAAAGGTAATATCTGTAACACAATAGTGACTGGACTACCAGACAAGTAACCTTTAATAAACTTACCATTTATAGCTCTTTCGTAATCTTCGGGAATTAGTGTTATTTTCTGCTGTACATTATTTTCGAGAACCAACTCCATTTTCTATGACCAAGACAAAAATCGGGTTATGAATAGTTTATGTTTACTACAACCTTTACTCAGTTTACTCAGCTTTTACCACCAAGTTGGTAGAAGCAACATGAGTATTTTGCAGTAAATCTCACGCATGCGTATTGATTGTTGCATTTGCAGTAAATGTCAGCAATTTTATAACCGCCACAAAATTACTTTCAGTAAAAACAGTAACTGGAGTAAATTTTGGACTGTACCGTTAATAGGTACCAAAGTATTTTATAGCGTCGCGTCGCAAATATAATTCTTCAGTATCTACTTTGCAACTACTACTTACAATTCTTAAATTCAAAAGGACCCACGTCCCACAATTCATGTTATGAGCAGCAAATACTTTAAGAAACGTTTCACAGTACTATTCCAATAACTGCTTACAACAAGACCGTAAAGAATGTAACGGGAATTCTTCTTCTTCATCCTTCGTTATGAGTACGTTTTTGGACATATTTTGCGTACTTTTATTTCCGGGCTAGATCAGATTATAAGGGTTAAGCATAGGAAAGAATCCAATTAATTTTCCTTTCAC